TTTTTGAATGTTGTAGCTTAATATATTAATACTTATGTTGTTAAAGGTTAAAATATACATCAACTATACAAGGTGTGGCATGTGGGAAAATTGTTACTCCAAGAACCTTAAACTTTTCATTTTCTGACTTTTGTATATTTAAATCAACAAACATATGGGTTTTTCATATATATTATATATAGACACACATATTACATGTATGGTGATGATAACCATGTGATATATTGCAGAATCATATGCTAAACTGCATTTATCTTGCACCTTGGACTGCCTCTCCAACCTTATCTTTACTCTGCCTACTCAACCATCTCCCCTGGGACTATTGCTAATAGATGTAACCCTGGATAAGCTTTAAACAGCCACCAGTCCAAGAAAAAGAAAGAAAGAAAGATGCTAGATAAATATTTCCTTTTTTCTTCTTCCCCTCCAGCCCGCCCCCACCTCCTGCAATAAATGTGTAATTTTTCTCAAAGTGATACTGAACCAAGGTCCAGGATGGGCAATATTCAGTCCTTGGCCAGTGAGAGGTTTAAACTCCAATACCTTGAGACCCCTAATGGCTAAAGATTAGCTCTTGTACCATTAAAAAAACAGGAATCCCTCTTAACGGTAGAATAAAGCATTTGTTTCTAACCATGGTAAGTCACAAGATATTCAGCCTTAAATCTGTGATCTGTTTATGTCTGGGGAAACTTGTTTAGTTTATTAGAGGTTTCTAAAATGTAGTTTTTGTAAACTTCCACCCCTGCAGAGGCCTATGCAGTAGCAGTTGGCCGCACTGTACAAAGGGAGTCTGGTTTTAGAGACTAGCACCCTGTTTGAGTAGCCAAGCCGTGCTCTTGGCAAATACATGGAGGGCTGGGGGCAGCAATTCTTCTTCCTAGACTGGGGAGCGACTATGGAACCATTTGGCAGAACTTGCTCCAGCCCAGTAGCTGCAGTAGGTTCTTCAGGCCCTGTACACCTGTTCTGTGAGGCAAAGGATGCAGATGCGCCCATACACATACACTGTGCGGGTGTAAACACGTGCACCCACACATGCATATGTTTTTGGATACCTGTTTGTGTAAACACACACAAACATTTTATATACATCTTTGTGTAAATGCATACTGATACATACAGAGAAAGTGAATATGTTATAGTGTCTGGCAGAATACATTTTTCCTGGGCAGGAGTTTGGGATAACTGCCTTACTCATGTGTGGCTTAGTCATATGTAGATTATGCAGTTCAGCTCAAACAGATGTCAGTAACCTCTTTAACCCTCACACACCACTGTAGGATTTTGCTTTCTGCCATATTTCAGTGCAAACTTATTTTAGAAATGTGTCTGAGTTTAACATTTTTGTTTTAGACGTGGATTAGTTTTCTTATATCCCAGGCCCAGTGCCTGTAAAACCAAGTGATTTGGGGTACCATCAGAGTATAGGCCCAAAAATTAGAACTTTTTTACCTCTTTAAAAATGTTCCAAGACAACTTTTCTTTGACTTGATAGTTGTGATTACAACCCGGTATCTCACAAACAGGCCAGGTTAGAGGCTAGCCATACACATCACTGGAGATGATGAAATTCCCAGTTTCCAGGATGCTATAATAGGCATTTCTCGCCCTGGTCGTTCTCAAGATATTCCACATCTAAACTGTCTCTGGTCCAGTACTGAATGCTTCTTGCCTTGACCATTGGACCATTAGATATTTTCAATCCTTCCTTTTACCTGATATACATGAAGGATTTGGGGAGAAGGAAATAATTGTGGCAGGATCCATTTGATTTTGTTTTACTGGAATATGTTTGAAAGAGGCTCAGAGGCTTGAGATATTAGATGTGCTCCTGCCTGAGACAGGTTAGAGGGCAGAATGCAGGTGATTGGAGATGCAGTTTATCACCAGGAGCTGCTTGGGACACGTGTCCTTCTCATGTTGTCAGGGGATAGGTTTAAGGTTGCACAGGTAACTTTAATGATGGCATTCCTTCACATTTGAAGTGCTTGACTTTACAACCTTAACAATGTTCTTTTAATGTGTGGGGTTTTTTTCCCCCCCATGAAATATGTATATAAACCCCACCTAATGTGTGCCATTAAAAAAACTGCACTCATTGCCCCAGGTTGCTGCGGTAACCATGGTAGCTTCCGGTACTTAGAACAGGAGATAATGTGGTGCTGCAATTATTTTAGAGTGGCAAATGTTAACTTTTTTTTAAATGGTGCCCATTAGTTTACCTGACTGAGATCATTTTTGTTACCTCTGAGGTTTTTGCAGAGATCTAAACACCTTGCTTTTAAGAGCTTTCTTTGCAAGCCTCAGAAGTCACAGACCCATTTTAGTTGCTCATCCGTACTATATATTATGGAAAACCTTAGCACATTCACTCCCTATGTATAATAATGATCAATTAGCTACAAGAACTAAATCTAGGAAAGGATCCTGACCCCGCAGTGCATAGAAAGCTTAGGGCTTGCTACCATGCCTACGAAAAATTCTGTGTATGCTAATAAACTAACTCCACTGCACGTATAGAGGTAGAAAAAGCCCCACCTTCCTACGTGGCTGTTATGGATGGACTTCCCATGCAGGAGGATATGCCCATGGCTCCTGCATGAGGTGCAGATTTGATCAGTCAACTGCCCCAGATCTGACACCAGTACTAAGGGATGGCACATGCGTGAGGGATGTTGTTTACATTTATTCTTGGCTGGTTGGTTGTTTCAGCTGTGGAATATGGGCTTTTTATGCATAGTTAGTAAAGGCTGGTCACCAACTGTCAGAGAGGAAATGAAGCTGCTTGGACTTCGGAGGGAGATGTCTGCCTAGGGCCCCAGGGACAGGCTGCGTATGTCACTTTGGTGGCGATGGGTAGGGTTTTCAAAAGCACTCAGGCTCAGCCTAACTCTGCTCCCACTGAAGTCCATGAAATCACACCCATAGTATGCAGCCATTTAGGACTCTATCCTGCAGCCCTTACTCCCATGCAAGTCGATGGGTGTTTATCTCACAAAGAGTATGGAGTCAGGCCCTCTGCATCTCCAGCATGAACCATGAGTCACCTTGGAGGCCACACCTCTTCCCCACTTCCAGTATGCCCTCTGGCCATGTACACCTAACAGGGATGCCTTGGGGCTGAGCAAAGCCACCCACCGCCTAAGCAGCATGTGGGGTGGTCTCCTCTTGCTCCCAGGAAGTGATTTTCAAGGAGGGCTGCTCCAGGGAACAGGCAAGAAATAGCCTAGCACATCTTTATGCATGAAAGATGCATTTTGAGCCTGAAAAGATCTAGCTCTAGCTCCTTACAAACATGCATGAGAAACTACCATTGACATTGCAGAGGGCCCCTTTGGCCCAAAATGCTGCAATATAGGGATTAATGGGAAGGATAGCTCAGTGGTTTGAGCATTAGCTTGATAACCCCAGGGTTGTGCGTTCAATCCTTGAGAGGGCCACTTAGGGATCTGGGGCAAAATCAGTACTTGGTCCTGCTAGTGAAGGCAGGGGGCTGGACTTGATGACCTTTCAAGGTCCCTTCCAGTTCTAGGAGATAGGATATCTCCATTTATTATTACCAGTGCCTCTTCATGCCAGGAAGCTACTTCCCACTTTCAGACATATTTCTTTTCATTTGTAATTTTTCAGTATTAAAAAATAATGCAGGCCCCAGAATCACACCCCAGCATAGCAAGCAGGCAGATTTCAAATGATTTCTTAAGCACTAAAAAGACACAAGAGTGTTTTATTTTAAATAGCTGATCCATATGTCTGCACCAATGTGCTTCTATCCCCCTGGAATATCTGCAGGGTTTCTAAAGCCCTGCTATGTATCCCTCCGTAAAAACAAAGTCAGAAAACTACCTGTGCTGGTGTCACTCATGCCTGCTAAATACAGCTTGTAAAATTCACACCTTATGTGCCAGATCCTTCAGTAATACTGACCATTACATTACTAATACTTCTACAAATATAATCCTCATCTCTTTTCCATGTGTGTACAGTGCCTGGCCAGTGATATTCACAGGCCCAGTATTTAAATATAATTATTTACTAATTCTCCTAATAAATCGAATTGGTGAATATTATCTGTCTGTCGTAGGCTCATTCCTACTCAAATTGGCAGCTGAGCTCTCTGAGAGCAGGACCAAATCCCATTCTCTGTATTGAACTTGAATCACTTGATTATTAATTCCGCATCTGCCATTCTTGCAGCATCACTCTGTAGCGTCTACTATTATAAGGGCCACTGACTTAAATAATTTATAGCAGCTTGATCTCTAAAGATCCTGCCCAGAGATCAACTCCGCTCAAGTCCTTTTTAGTGCGTGCCCGCCTCCCCCAGGGTTTTCCCTTCCTGATCAGGTCTGAGCAGCTGGTTTCACTCAGTCCTTCCCGAGTTGATCCTTCTGCCCTCCCCGAGGTAGGAACGTGGCGCTGTGGTTTTCGAATCCTCTCTCTTCCCCCCAGATCAGGCACTCGGCTCTGGCTGCCTTCCCCTTCCCACCCGGAATTCGAAGCACATACACAACAGGAGGCGTTTTTAAAGAAAACGTTTATTTACAGATCTCAGCAAGTACAAAGTATTATACATGGTCGGTGTCAACCCCAGATCTTCTTTATTATGAAACATAAGGCGCTTTCTCTAGAGTCGATGGCAAAAGATGTCGGGTTCAGGTGCTGCTTTCTGTGTGCTAAGCTTAGAAGGAGGTTAGGACAAAATAAAGAGTGCGTTGCCTGAAAGGAGCCCTTATTACTATGGTGAATAAATTACAGATGACATTAACTTCACCTGGGACAGATGGAAGCTACTGCTTTTCAGTTTAATAGGGTTTCCTAAGCTAATGAGTCACAAGTTCCATTTAGTTTCCTCTGCTAAGTGATATATATTTTTAGAATCTCCTAAAAATAGGGAGGAAATAGCCTTTTGTTCCACAGCCAACATAAATACTTATGTTCCGATTTTTGAATAAATAATCCAGTTATTATATATCCATATTAATAGTGCCCGAAATCTCAATGCAGAAATAAATTAAATTATTTAACACTTCTTACCAAAGAAAAGTGACATTTCCCTTTCCTAACGGGATAGCGATATGAATTTACAAATGGAGCTGATAAAGCGTCCAGTTCTCCAGGATGATAATACTCTGGTGATTATTTTGTCCTGGGCTATAGAATAACCTGCGAGCGTTACACACCCTCCGGGAAGAAACGGGGTGACTTTAGTAATAGGTCTGGCAATTGCTTTCGCTTCCAGATAATTTCCCCAGCCCCTTTCGGGGAAATGACACCCACTCTGGCCATCAGAGATGAGATCCCCTCTTCCTTCAAGGACTACCCAGCGAACCCTCTTTGCAAAGTTCATGCACCCGTTCCAGATGCAAACATTCTCCTTGGGTTTGTAAACTCAGGTTTAATCCCCTCCGCAAGTTCACTGGGGCTGATTTGGGGGGCACCAGCGATCTCTCCGGGAGCCCTTTGTCCAAGTTTCCGTCTGACAAGCCCAGGACCCCCGGCTTAAAGGAGAAGCGCGTTCACAAAAACATCCCGCAGAGCGACCTGGCGCTAAAGCCACCATCTCGCAGAGCACTTGCTGCAGGCGGGAGGCTGCGGACTGGGAACAGTTCGGCGTGGGGGTCCCGCCGCCCGAAGCTGGCCTCGGCCCACCCCTTGTAGAGACCAGTCATTTCGCTGGAGCAAACTGTCCGCCAAACTCTGCTTCGTGCCCGGCTTAAGTCATGCAGGGAGAGGTGGGGGAGGCGCTGTCTGTCTGTCCTCCCGCCCCGACCCCAAGTCTTTACACGAGCGAGGTAACAGGTGGGATCTTGGAGTTTTCCTCTTCCCAGGGCTGGAGGTTCTGCAGTGCAAAGAGCGAGGAGTTGTGTAGACAGAGGGGGTCGGGCTGGATTGAATCGTTCAAGGATTTCTGGAAAGCGTCGTGCTGGAGTTGGAGCATCAGCCTGCTCGCCTGTTGCCTCTCCGCTTCCCTTTCCTCTGCGGTCTGTCTCCTAAACACACACAACACAGATCAGTTCAGGAGCCCGCAGCTGGCACCCCCCTGCCTGGCTGCCACACGCCTTTGTTCCTCCCCAACCCGGCTCTGCCTCACGTACCATGGGGACAGGAGTCCTGGTGCCCGGCCTGGGCGCCCTGTCTGAATGACTGGGGACTGGGAGGGGATATTTCTTTTCCTGGGACAGGTGTTTGGTGTCCACCGCCCCCCTTTTCTGAGCCCCTTTCCCCAGATCTTGGGGATGGGGGGAGGGGGTTCTGCCCAGAGAGCCAGGCAGGGATCAAACCAAAACGCGCTCATTCGGCATTGTGCAAACACAGAGCCGGTTATCCACGCAGCGCCCCAAACCGGGTGCCGGGCGCTTGGCAGCGCCTCCCGGCATCTCAGCCTGGGGTGCTGAGCCCCTCTCCCCACATGCGCCAGCTCTGCAGCACCCGGCCGGCCCCAAACCACGGGGGCCTCCCTCGTGCTGCGGCGAGATGTTTGGGGCGCACTGCAGCGTCCGCCTCAGGGCCCTGCCCGGGATGGGACCGACCGCTGGCCGCAGCAGCCTGGGCCTCTCCCGAGCCTGCCCCCACCACAACTGCAGCGCAACCCAGACCCTGCCTGGGAATCGGCTCCATACCGGCCACACTGCACTTTGGAGGTGTGTGTAATTAGAGAGCAGCACCTTTGTCTGTTCCGTTTATACACACACTGTCTCTCACACACACCCCATATGTAGATACAGAGACGTATTCTTCTCGCTTAACGCCTGCGTCTCCAACAAGTTGTTCCAACATCTGCCATGCAGCTGCAGAAGGGGAACCTCCGATTTACATGGCGTTAGCCAGGACAAAAGAACCAACACTGTATCTGTGCGCCCAGAGACAGGACAAAGGGCCCTGCAGCCTCTGTCCCTGGGAAAAATCCTCACTTAATGCTACTACTAAATTAGCATTAGTGCCCTCCATTCTGACAACCCAGTGCCTGCTGTATTTATCAGTCTATTGGGTTTGTGTGCAAAGTGTTGAGATGACATTTCAAAGGTAATTGGCTCATTACCGTTTTTTCGTGCCACTAATATATATGTCTGAACGTCTCGCTGGGTTTATGGCATTATTATCGATACTCTTCGGTAATTACAATAATTGCTGCAAGGCTTGAAATTTCCTTACATCTGACCGCAATCGCTTAAAAATATCGGAACCCCAGTTATAATAAACCAATAATTTTGTAAGCAATATTATATATAGTAGGTAAAACTATTAGCTACGAATACCAGTGATCGTATTGTGGATGTTTATTGCTCTAATTCAGGATGTTTCATACTAACATGCAAGAGAAAGGGCTGTACTTCGGGAATTTATTTCCATTTTAAACAGCTAAAAATATCCCGAACACAACCCGGCCCTTTACACCAGAAAACTAACACATATTCTTCCAAATAATATTTCAATAGAATTGCGCGTGAAGATTATTGGAGGAATCGAATTACAGACACAGGGTATTTCCGAAAGTTATTTTATACGGCAGATAATTACATCAAATCCCATATTTTCTACGTGTTGAAAATAAAGGAGGCAAGCCCATTAGCAAACACAGGATGCACAATAATCCATCGCCTTGAATGTTCTATTTTCTATTTTTCAGACCAACCGCGAATGGATAAAAAGTGCATTAATATTTTCTGATGAAATCATCTAAAACAACCACTTTCCTGCAGTGAAGATTTCGAGTGAAATGTTGCTGGTTTAAAATCTTAATTAAAAGGGTTGTTCACCTATATTTCATCCTGGAGAGAGGGGAAAAAAAGGAAACCAAAACAGATTTTAGCTCATTTTTCTTGGTCCTTCTGTAATCAGGGCAAAGCAAGTGACATTTTTAAAGATAATTTTCCTGCTACGAATTACATTCGTCAATTTTTAATATAAAGAAACGGAAAATCAGGGTATGGAGCCACTTTCTAGATGTTTACGTTCATATAGTCTTAATAACGGGACGAAGAACAACGCTCTTTACTTCGTTTAGGGACGGGCTAATAATATGTCCTGCTTTGGTTTAGCGAAATGTCACATTTCTTAAAACAGCCCGACTCTAAATCCGCCGCGCCAGGGAGGCCCGGCAATTTCTACAATTCAGACCAGCTGGTTTCTTCGGTATTAAATCGTTTTTGGGCGAAGTTGAACAGCAAAATATCCTTTCTTTATGCAATGTCTTTCCCTGCGTCTAATGCTAAAGGTTCGCCCTTTTAGCAGGTGTAGAGGTGACAGCGCTTCTCCCTGCCTGCAGATCTACCAACTGTGATATCTGCCTTTGCCTGGCATAAAAGTGGAGATACACCTCGCCTGGGGCCATTTTTACCCCTCGGTTAACTTTTAAGGATCTGCCCGATTCCCCGGAAGAAGACCCTCCCGGACCCTGGCAGCTACTGCGGGAAAGATGGAGCTTTCGCTTTGCAAGGAGCAAACGGACAGAGATACGCCGAGCAGAACCGGGGCTAGGTGGGGAGCGGCCGCAGCTGAGCCTGGGGCCAGGAGTAGAAGAAAGAAACCCTGCTGCCCTCCATGGAAATGAGGCGGGCAGGAAAGGGGCAGCCAGGGACTGGGGAGATGGGAGCAGGCAGAGAGGGGAGGTGTGGGGAGGGGAGAGGGAGGTAATTGGGAGCGGGCAGGTGGGGCGGAGGGGGACATAGGAAAGGTAAGTCAGGGGCAATAAGAAGAGGGCGCAGGAGTTACATGGGGGGAGCCAGGAACAGAAGCCCAGAGGAGGGCACAGGTCCCGGGAGGGGCCCGCCCAGCTAGGCCCGGACTCACCGCCACTTGGTCCGCCTGTTCTGGAACCAGGTCTTGACCTGCGCGTCCGTCATCTTGAGGGACTTGGCGAGCGCCGCCCTCTCGGCCGAGGCCAGGTACTTCTGCCGATGGAAGCGCTTCTCCAGCTCGCAGATCTGCACCCGGGAGAAGGAGGTGCGCGGCTTCTTGCGCTTGGGCGGGGTGCGGTTCTGGTAGGGGTGCCCGATCCGCCGGGTGACGGTGAAGGGGGTGAGCGCGGCCGCCGCTGCCCGGGGGACAAACAGAACCGCAGGTGAGAGCCCAGCACCCCCTGCCAGTCCTGCCCTCTGCCCCCAGGCCGGCTGCTCCCTCCCAGCAATCGCCATAGAGCGAGAGTCCTGCTCAGGCTGCAGGGCCTGGTCGGGATCGGCAGCCCAGGAGCAGGGCACAGGGCACGGCCCTGGGAAGGGAGAGCAGAGCTCCCAGGACACGGGAGGAACCAGGATTTGGGTTCTTATTGTATTAAGGAGAGAAGGGGCTGCGTGGGCTTCCCATCCCTAGGGGTATGGAGCACATCCCTCTTCATTTTAATGTCGGAGTTTTCGTCTTTTCTCTCCTCTTTCCCAAAAACAAAACTAGAATTTCTCCAGGGGGCGGGGAGATCCTTGCCAATGCTCTGCTGTAAGTATTACACTTTATTTACCCGCCCCCCCATCACTTCATCCTCCACAGATACAGTAACCAAACCTGCAAGAAGATGTGCAATGTTCAGAGCATTTGCTTCAGATTATATTCTGTATCTGGCGCTCAGTTTCCCCATTTCTCTCTCTCTCTCTCTCTTTAAAATCGAATCCTCTTTATTTACACCCATTTAAATGCTAATCGCCGTTATTATCATTCAAGGTTTAGATTGTTCAGGACACACTGTCTAATCGGATTATGGATGGGGATTACTGGAGTTCCTCCACTCCATTTCCACCCCTCTTTGATTGTGATTAAAAACGAGATCTGGGCAATTAGATTTTCTGAATGGAAATTTCAGGGCGATCCAGAACCGGCTGCAATGTCTGTTCTGACAGCAGTGATACACAGGAACTGCGCGTTAGTTATTCCCGTGTTTTGTCTGTCCTTATGGCATCTGATGGCCACACAACCCATACAAGGTTGTTGGTCAGTTAGTGCAGGGGTATGCAATCGTTACAATGGGCACAAAAACTATAACGAACATTTATTTCTCTTAATTAGTGGGTTCAAGGTAATGCTTCCTCCCCTCGCCCCAAAGAAGCTAACCCACTATTTTTAAAAGCTTTTCCTTTTCTGCGCCAGGTGCAGTAACGGATGTGGGGGCTCTAATAACCTGGAAGGGTAAAACCCAGACACATTTTTATGCTGTTTTAGTGCAGTTTGACTGTAGCAGAAAACTTCTTGGTAAAACGAGACTCTCAGGGTCGTGTTAAAAATCAGCCCTTACCTGTGAATCTGTCCTTTACGAATCTCCTGCTGCTCTCCATCCAAGGGAAGTTGAGGCTGCCAAGGCTGGGTACAGCTGGCATAGCTGGGATGGCACTAGAAATTGGAGGTGGCACAGCCCCAGGGATGGGTCTGTGAGCTGGCACCCTGATCACTCCAGCTGGAGCCAAGCTCAGATTCACACTGTAAGATCCAGAGTCTTCAAAAGGCGCCCCGATGCCAGGGAAGGAAGCTGGAAGGGAAGGATAAGGGGCACTTGTTCTGCTCACAGGGCTTCCCAGGTAATTTGTGTTGTCTGATCCTCTGGGGGTAGGCTGGGAAGAGTTTTCCTGATCAGAACTATTTAAAATCTGATCAATTCCAAAGCTGATGGGTTCGTGTTGATGCTGGGTCTGTGTGTTCGTTGGCTGATCCATCCTTGGTGAATAGAAATATTGGCTCAAAACTGTATGAATTCCCCTATAAAACGCTCGCTTTCCTTTACAGTAGATCCATGTAGGTCCTGGTGTATGTCAGACTGAAACTTTGCCAAGAGTGGTCCAGCCCGACAGGCTCTGTGTCATCTTTTTTGAACCAAACCTTGAGTTTCTGCTTCTAATTTCTGTCCTGCAGCTGCCATTGGACGTAATAAACAAGCCTCTCTCCTCCCATTGGTTCCCGGATTTCAATAAAGGCCTAATTCATTGAAATAGGAGCTTAGGGACTGTTCCAAGGTGACATCATTTTAACAAACGAACAATAGGTCAAATTTATTAGCTAAGATAATGTGTGGCGGATATTACAATAGCATCTGCGATTGTTGTCCTTAGAAATTAGCGATTTGAAATTTAACAAAGCTTTGCAATTACGAGGCATTCCCCTCCCCCCTTGTTTATTACCTAACATGCTAGTTGTACAGAATTCCAGGATGGGAATGACAAAACAGCCTCTCCCCCTCGGTGGATTAATTTAGAATGTAATGTAACTCTTTCCTATTGTTTCTGTTTATAAATATTATGCAGCGTGTAAACACCTTACTGAGACGCAGAGAAGAGTTTTGCTGGATGTTTACCTGCTCATCGGCTCTAGTTATGGTGCTAGTAGAACTTGAGCTATTTTAAAAAAATGCAAAGGGAGAAAAGAATGGATTCCTGGGTTTTGAAGCCCAGAGTTTGGTCCCTTTTTCTCCCACATTTTTCTTTTTGGTGCTTTTTAATTCTCAGTATATTAAGCACCACTTCAGGGGACTCTCCTGAAATCTTACCCCGTTGCGATTTATCTGAAGCTGGAAAGGGACATGCTCGTCTATTTTTCCCCCCATGGATTCCTTATGAGAGGTCATTAAACATATGCCCATAGAACGCTGCCTTTTTGGAACTACGCTTACCCGTTGGAAAAAGAGCGAGCTCTCAGACCTGGACTTGGGTTCGTGTAGATTGCAAACCCCACGGGTGAGCGCGGGTCAGAGGAGAAACACAGACCCTAGGAATCTTGGTTTGAAAGGGATTTTTGCAAACTGTGAATTTAGTTTAAATTTACCTCTGGAGGGGAGGGGAATCCAATTCAGGAACTAAATGGGAAACATTTCTCCCTGTCTATTAACTGTATTTTGTGTGTGTTTACATGGCAACTAGTTAATTACTATAGGGCCTCCGGCTTTCCCCCTATGTTTTTGTTTTTACAAATTCCAAACATAATTATTTTAGTTTTCAATAGCCTATTTCTTTCTCTGTTTGACCGGCCGGCCCAATATTTGCGTGGGGCTGCCTCTCTTGGAGATAAAATTAAAGGCGCGGGGGAGGGGAACAATGTAAAATACACAGAGATTCCGTTTTGGATTAATTTACGTCAACAAACTTATTGCCGTACACGACTGTTAAGTGAGTTTGTAGACGCTCCCTAACGTCCAAATTGGACTAAAGGCGTTAAAAATTAAATAACGTTCAAATGCATTTACTTAGTTTCCCTTTTATAAAGGGAAATGAAAACAGGGAATAGAATTTTCCTTTTAATAGAATGTAATAGTATTTGATCAGCACCTGTTAGGGCTGATGTTGTGATTTCAGAAAGCAGCGACAAGGAGAGAGTTTATTAGTTTTTAAAGCTTAGGATTCAATTACCGCAACACACTGAATAATTTAAATGGCAGCAGTAAATGCAAACAGACCTGTGGAGTTATCGGACTTATTGCACCGAAATGCTGAAGAATAGGGGGGGCAAGAAAGGAAAATAAATTAAAAGCAGGGTTGTGTTCTTTTTTAAACAAACAAAACCAACCAACGAAACAAAAAAACAACCCTCCAATATTTGTTTCCTAAACTATATCCTAACTGATCAATTTTGCTCAGTGACAAGGTTGGAGGATTTCCCCACATCTCATGATCCTAATATGTAGAGCTTAAAAAACAAAACAAAACCCCTATTTTATTGTAGGGGTATTTTGTATTCATTTTTTCCGTTTCAAATCTCCAAGGTTTTGTTGTTGTTGTTGGTTTGTTTTTGGTTTTAAGTCACAATTTATTCAAGGATAGGGAAAAAATAGCCCGATGCATTTTCCCTCACAGTGATACTTAAACGATTATTAAAGACCCTTTCCAACTTCAAGAAATGCATCGAAGCAAAGGGAATCTTAATGCATGGATTTATGTACAGTACTGAGGACAGCGTGATGCCATTGGGTCTTCTTGAAAGAAAATTAGAGGACGCCTGTTTTATTGCTAACATGGACAGTTAAATCTCACCTGCTGTTCCTAAATCCAGGACAGTAAAAAGTGCTATTTGGTGTATTAGTGGCTGTCAGGAATTATCCGTGAGCTGTATATGTTTCTCTCCTCTCACCCTATACAAAGATCCCCATACTGATAGCATTCAATTCCAAGACCATTTGTAAGCAACTGCCGTGGAAGGTTTGGAATAAAGTGAGACATACACAGAGAGAAATACGCACACACAAATAACGCCTTTTTCTTCTTCTTCCTGGCAGTCCATTGATCGCACCGAAAATGTCATAAAGCGACTGCCCAGGAGACTCGCATGCAACCAAACAGATGTTAATTTCCAGGAATGGGAAACTTTAAAAGCAGAAGCCCTTAATAATATGATAGTTTGTTAATTTCTGGTGGATTTACGTGTCGCTGCAGGCTCCAGATAAATATCAAAGGGGCAGCTCAGGAGGAGTTGGAAAGAAGAGCGACTAGCCATTAGAAACTCTCTTTTCACTGGAATCTCTTTTAAGAAATATCTAGGTGCACCGGCGAGGTGGCAGGGTATAAAATCACTACCTGCTTCTAAAGGCTCTGGCAAAATCAATCAAGGAACCAGAGCCCTAGTAACTAACTTTGAATGATCGATGCTCAGGATCAGTTAGCAGGAAAATACAGGGTGGGTGGGAACCTCCAAATACATGATTTTAATAAGAGGTGCAATTGAGATTGGATTATTTTAGCTCACAGACATGGATATTTCCCCCCTCTGAAGCCTAGCTACACTGCGGTAGATCCAGACAGATTTAAATAGGCGCCAGGTGCAGGTACAATCACGGATCCAGGTGAATTTCGAAATCATCTCCTCGCTGGACAACAGACCCCGCTGCTCCCAGCCCACTTTGGCTCAGCTTGCTGGATTTCCGAATGAACTTTTGAGCTGAAGTATTTAATATTTTAATAACCCATTAGCTTTGACTCTGAAAATGCTCAAGTCCGGGGGAGGTAAAGTAGAGATTTATCATGGAAACCGACACAAGCCGATTGCAAAGCAGTTGTTTGACATTGAGAGTACTTATCAATTAAGGAGACGCATCTTTCTGGCTGGCCATGTTAAGAGGCAGCCGAGATGGCATCTGAAGGGTATTTCTTTCACTGCTAATCCGATTAAGGGAAAAATAGCCCCACCGTCTTGGATTCATCTCATTCCCCAGGAGCCTGGCTGCTTGGAGGCTTTTACGACGACATAAATATGACTATTAAATATTCTTTTCCCCAACCTAGCCAGCCCTGGCCATGGGCTAAAAAGGGAGGGCAGGGGAGAGCTGTGCCCTCGCAGCACGTGCCCCGAGAGCAGAAATCGGGGTTGAAAAGTGGCATCGCAGTGAAGAGTTTGTTTAAAAAATAAAACCGAGAGGGGCGGCGGCGACTCCAAACGAGCAGCCAGGCCCCAGCACTTAGCCATGGGGAGCAGGCGGGGTGCATGGCAAACGGGGCTGACTCCGGCCTCCCGAACTGCACCGACCTGGTAATTCTGGGAGGCGGAGAGGAGCCTAATTGGATTTTTTTCCACTTGCTCTCGCGTGTCTAAGCTGACTGATCATTAGTTTGAGTTTCTATAGAGTGGAGCTAATTGGATTTGCAGGCTACCAGCAAGCTGGGATGCCAGCTTTCAGGAAGGAGCCTCCCAGCCTGGAAGAGGCAGAGGAGGGAAACTTACCCCTACTAGCCTTGCCCCAGGCATCACTTCTCTGAACCCCCTTTCAGTCCAACCCTCCCAGCCTGCCTTTGAATGGCCAGGGAGGATTTAAAAAAAAACACACACAACCCACACACGAAACAGAAGAGGGCTAAATAAATAAATAAAATGACACCCAGTCCTGAATCAGGGCAGGCTTTGTTAGAGAAAATTGCGGCTTGATCTGCATAATGGGAGCTCTGGATGCCCAAGGCTATCTTTTTATTGCATGTGTGTCTGCTGTTATCAATTTTGTGAACGATTTCACAGGGAGCCTGGCAGACTTGAGCTGGAATAATATGCAAAGATGAGCTTTGAATAATGAATGATGTGCTTTTAAACCAATTCCAAAGTGTCTGTGATAGTACAATATGAAAAGGGCTGGTAAGTAATAGTGTATTTAAAAGGCGCTAGTATGTTTTTATTACTATATTTAAAAAGATATCTATATTATTTTTGTGAAATGGATAATCTATCACAGAGTCTTTGATAATCAGCTAAACAATACATTTTTCTTTGGGAAAACTCTCCTAGTTTTACACAGTTAAATATAGACTATCAGCATACAGCTTTGTAACGCATGGCTACCTTATTAAATATTAACTCTATTTTAATATTAGCTTTTAAATTTAATATGTTGACGTTCTGTACTTTTACTTTAATTATGTTTTATAATTAATAACCTTGGACGTATGGATTCCTTAAATGCTGCTCTCCCATAGTCGATTTGCTGCTTTTCTTTTTTATAGGTGTGTATATGTGCAAACAAAATTATACATCCAAAACTATATACATATCAAATTGTATGATGGTAATATTTTGTAAATAAATATATCTACTTAGGTTTTTTTAATTAAAAATATTCCTCAGTGTATGTATATATAAAATGTGTACACACACACATCCTATATATAAAAACAAACACACTATGTATTTTGTCTTTGTCAATGTCTAATGTAATCGATCTAATCTGATCTAACCTTTCTATCAATTTTTAAATAAAAAAGCGAAGTGGGTCTATTTATTTACAAAAGCCAAACCAGCTCTTTAACTATTTTTTGTCGCCAAGTTTTCAAACCC